AGTCTGTGGTGTGCCAGGGCAACTGCCTGCAGGTCTGTTATCGCAGTGTGATGTGTATCCATATAGAGTCAACTATATCGAGACGCTCATGGACCCCTCGGATAGCGTCATGTAGGCCCTCCATGTCAGCCCTGTGCATATGCTCATAACGGGTGAACAAGGCTTCCATGTCCCGTTTAGAAGGTAGGTGACCGAGCAGCCGCCTGACGTCCCCTGCCGAACTACCTGTGACATACTCTCCATCAGGGGAGATGTCGGGGGTATCCCGCACAGGTGACGGATCAGCAGGCAGTGAGGAGGGTGAGCCGGATAGAGCTGGAGAATCCCCACGAGGCGCCGTCATCCCGGCTGTAGCGGCACGTGTATGTGCCGGAGCCGAAAAGAAAGTGTTAATGCCGGTCTTCGGTACTCGGGAGCGCTCCGTCTTAGGGCCCTGGGATTTCTTGCTGCGCTTAGAGCCCATCGTTAATGTAGAGGGAGCGATCAGAGGCACATAGTGATGCCCGGTTAGGTGCAGGAGAGCTAGGGACGCACACGTCCAGCCGCCACCATCAGCCCCTCCCCCCCAGAAGCTTCATTTTAATACTGATTGCAGTTATTTATTAAAAATATACATTTATTTTAAGTGCAACTAAACTGAAAACAAATGCTTGAATTTGACATATTTTGCCTAAATTGGGGCTTTCCCTGCAGCTGAGAAAGTCAACTCACTCACAACTCACTAGGCTGTCTCTCCTGTCTGGTAGGACTGTGTTAAGGAGTACCCTAAAGTGGAACTCCAAACCGCTTAAACACGTACCTTGAAATACATAGATCAGGGGTCTCAAACCTCCGGCCCTCCAGCTGTGGTGGAACTACAAATCCCATGAGGCATTGCAAGATTCTCACAGCCACAGACATGACTCCCGAAGAGAGATGCATCATGGGATTTGTAGTTTGACCACAGCTGGAGGGCCGGAGGCTTGAGACCCCTGACACAGATGGTAGCTGTTGGAGTTGCACTTTAGAGAACAAATATGTCTGTTTTTTGTGTGTGACTGAAATAGTCCTGGTAAAACTGGTACCCATGATAGTTTACATTGGTATACTTTGTGTTATATTAGGTTATCTCTTATACATTGTTGTTTATTTTCTAGGTGACGATTTAGACAGGTTGCTGGAAAAAATTCAGAGGAGGAGGGGAGATAATGTAATCATTCCTTTTCATGGTGATGTGAAAGAATGTGTCTCTTCCCAGGAAGCAGCCTGCATGGTTCCTGCACACAGCAGAGGTAGAAATTATTATTGGATTATCTTCATCAGATTGCCACATTCATTCACTGCTTATCTTACTGGCTGTTCATTTTGTGTTTTTGTTATTTCATTAATGGCTGTGTAGTGGTATTAACAGGCATCTAATGATCAGTCCAGCTTTAATTTGTTAAACAAGGTAAAAAAAATATATATAATAACTTGCTATATAAATCCAGTACACTTTGGAAGGTCAGAACAAACATGCTTGAAAGGCAGAGCCACCTGTGCACTGCGGCCTATTCACAGATTAGTAATTCAAGTAGATCCAATTGCACTCATAACAGGATGTAACCCAAAGTAATGGGTGGGTGCTGAGATTACAGCAGATGACTCTGCAGATCAGTATCACGTAATAGGAAAGTCACTCGCACTCCAATAAGAATTTCAGTCAATGTTCTTTATTGACAAAAGAATTGTCACATTGTATAGCAACGTTTCGGAACCGTATAGGTCCCTTCTTCAGACAAAGTGTAACAATCAAACAGTGCAAGTATGCATACAGCAGTGAGACACCAAAAACCAATCAAAAACATTGGAACCTCCCCTTCTGACATCATAGTGATCTCATATTCCCGGCATGCATAAATACTGATGGTGTGCATAAAAAAACCTTCCTTGGTGTGGGTAAAAATACCTTAAACCTCTGTGTAATTTATCAAAACTGGAGCAAACAGGATCTGGAGCAGTTGCCCATGGCAACCAGTCAGCATCTCTCTACAGTTTGCTTACGTAAGATTTGAAAATGAGAGAGAGATGCTGATTGGCTGCAGTGCAAATCTGCTCCAGATTTTGTGTTCCAGTTTTGATAAATCCCCCCAGTGTGTCTGTCTCTTTAAGTGTTTTTAAATGACCACCAGGATTATGCTGCTGATACCATTCTCTCTCAACTGTAAACAGCTTTTTCCTCCATAATTATAAATGAGGCCCCACCTGCCTCCCCTGACCGCACTTCCCTGATCTACAATAATGTTACTTAAAAATAAGCACAAATCCTAATAGGGCTGCAACAACTAATCGACATAATCGATTATAATCGATTATTGAAAAAGTTGTCAACTTTTTCAATAATCGATTAATCGGCTTCCGATCAGTTGGCCCTGTTCACGGCTCCACACACGCTGCGCGCCGCACCAAATAGTGCTATATAATGGCAATTCTCAAACTGAGATGGATGAGATCTGCTTGTCCCTATTGCAGCAACAAAAACATTCTCTCCCTACACAGCTTGTGCGCGTGTAGGGAGATGATTTCCTTTTCTAAGCAGAGAAGGGAATGATAATTTTGGGCAATGCTGGAACGTCGTGTATAGATGCATCACTATTTCTGCTCAGTAGCAGTATAGTATACTGAAGCAATAAGCTCAAAGTAAATTAATCTCAACTTGTTATTTGTGCTACGCCATGACGTGTTCAGTTTGTCATGTTATCATTTTATACCTGTTGTGTTTTTCCTCTGGCTTGTTGATTTATTACATTTAAATTAATTCTAAAAGTTCTCTTATCAAACTCTTAACCTAGGAATCATAAAGTAGATATTACAATCAACTATGTATTTCTCATAACATTTTATTGATACCATTTTATTGAGGGTCACGGTTTATTATGGATTTCATAGCAGACCTATCATAATAATGATTAAAACTGTGCCAGATTAAATGAAATAAAAATCATGTGATCGAATGGCTAGACAACCATGGTAAACAAAACCTGCTGTTCTAGTTTAGTAGTACATAGTATTGTCCGTATCCAGGAAAAACTACCTTTTTAACACTTTTACCTAATTTCTCTGCAATTTTAATTTGGGTCAAATGCAGGTGGTTGTCTGTCTTCCTGTAAAAATGTGTGTCTGCCATGCTTCTTGCACCGTGTCATAACAGCAATGAGCAGAAAAGGGAAATGGTCTACTGCCCTGGGACCTGAGATTTTTGACTCAACCTACTTAAAGGAGAACTATGAGATGAGTGATTTCCACTCACCTCATAGTTCTAGCCGACCTGTGACAATGAGACTGTCACAGGTCGGCTCAGTAGATCGGGAGGTGAGCGAACACATACCGGGTTCGCTCACCTCTCGATCCAGTCACGGCTCTCTGCCGTGACAGGGGGAGGGGCTGGATTCCCCCCTCCCCGCTCCGCCAGCGCTGACTGGCGGAACGGACGGGGGAGGGGGCGGGTACAGCTGGCTCTGCCTCCTAGATAGGCAGAGCCAGCTGTCACTCACGCAGCTGGGCGCATCCCGACGCTGTAGCTCGCGGTATACTGAGCTTAGGGTAACGGGAGGACGCTAGTTTGTGTCCTCCCGTTACCCTAAGGAGAACTATGGGGAAAAACACTGACCCCATAGTTCTCCTTTAAGGCAGAAACAGAAGCTCCAATCCTTTTATGCCTGATGTCAGCTAATGGACACAGGGACACCATACAGTTGGCATCCCCAGAAAAGGTGTAGAGGGCTAGTTGATGTAAATCCTACCTGGATGACCTTTATGTTGCTAAATCTTAGTGTTTCATAAAAACCTGCCCTTTTTTTTCCTTTAGATGCTGGTAATACTTTTTTTTTTTTTTAACTTCCTTTTTGTATCTTGGTGCTGTTGACCTGCAGACTCTCTACAGCTAATTCATATCTACATGCATGTGCTCTAGTGGGAGCTACTGTCATTGCTTAGGACAGTTTCCTTGATAGTGACATCATCTGAGCATGCCTGTATGGTGAGGGTTGGCTCAGCTGCTTATAGTTTCAACCATACGTTAAATGCGACAGGGTGATAACATAGGAAAGAAGTTAGGAGAGAGCCTTGTTGCTGTATAACATCAAATGACTGAACAAGGACCTTCATGGCAGAATACAGAAATAAAAAGACTAAAAAAAGACTTAAGATTTTACTAAAAAGTTAGATTTAATGAGGTTGTCTATCTACTTAAAATAGAGAGCTTATACCAGCACGTTTGGAAGGCGACATTGACTATTCTCATCTACCTGAAGACCTTAACACCAAGCTAAGAGCTTATGCATCTGCCACTTAATCTTTTTCGCTTAATTGCATTACATTTATTTTGGATTTTAGGTTGTAACACAGATAACTTTCAAATATACCAATCTCAACTGATGGTTGCTCGGAAGCTCCTCTCCCAGGTGTGCGCAATTGCAGACAGCGGCAGTCAAAGTTTGGATTTAGGACGGTTCAGCAAGGTGGATTTCCTTATAGTTGTTCCTCGCTCAGAAATACTGGTACAGCAGACTCTTCAAAGGATTAGACAGTCTGGTAAGATATATATATATATTACTTTCTGCTACCAAATAGGTGAAATGTTACTAAGGCAATGGAAACAGTGTTTGGGCCTCTTTTTCTGTGACAGCTGTATTTCATTGGGCATACCCACTCCGCATGGGAATGGTTGCTTTTAGTGCCGATGTTTTAGGCATCAAAAAAGGTAAGTGTGTATTTGCAGGATAATTGTGTCAGATGAACACTGATTTAGCTGTCCTGGGCAAGGCAATGGGTTACTGGTGGCCCACACAGCTGCCATTTCCTGCCTTACCTTTGCGCCCCTTCCCCACCATTCTTCCAGGAAAGCTTGCTTCCAGGTATAAGAAAGCATGTGATTTAAAGTGATATTGCTTGCTGATCAGCCTCTCAGGCGCTTTCGCAGGAGGACAGTATAGCATTCCGCTCTGCATAAATTCCAAGTTGTAACTTTGTACTTACACAGAGCTAAGTCGATTCTGTCTCAGTGGCTACACTGAGCAGCAGGCGAGTGAAGTACAAACCGGTGCAAGGGGCTGGCATTAAAGTAGATATATTGCTTTGCCTTGCATGCTTTCAAAGTGGACATTCACCCTAAATGTACTCAATGAACATTAAACAGCCACATAACATTTATTCCTTGGTAAATGCATAGCACCATGTTTGACTTCTGTCCATGTTCTGGTTGTCCAGCAGCCGGCATTGGATAGTGCTGGCCAATTACCAAGAAATGCTTCGTCTGTGCCATGATGCTGTCGAAGATGGCAATAGGGCTGACTACACCATGAGTTGCATGGACACTCCCATCACACCTTCATGACTGAAATGGAACCTGGCAAATGCCATTTAGGCACCAAACACTACATTTTTCCCTGCAAATCCAACCCCCCTTCCCTTGCCTGAAGGTATTGGGTATATCTTGGCTCTGGTGATTGATGGTTGGAAGGTTCATAAACCCAATATGAGAAAAGTACTGTCCCAAGTTGTAAAAAAAAGAAATGTTAACTGAAAACTGGGGATGAACCAATACCGGTATCAGTGCTGACACTGGGCATTTTCACAAGTGCCCGTGAAATTGCCCCGATACTAAAAACCTATACCGCTGCTATGAATGTTTAAACTGAAGCCAGCAATGTAAACAGGCGCCGGTTCACAAGAAGGCTTGCTAGGGACCTCTGCAGCCTACCCGTGAACTGCGGTGCCTGTTTACAATGATGCCTGCACATCTCCTCCTCCTTCCTGGAATCACGCTTCCCACAAGACCAACCCGGAACCCCTGGTGAGACACCTCACACCCCACCATTGACCCTGCACAGCCCTCCTTAAATCGTCCCATGAAGACATCAGGCCAGCACCCAAGATGCATGCAGCAGAGTATGTAGCTTCATATTACTTTGCATTGATGTATAATGCATCGCTGGGATTTGTAGTCCTTCTACAGCTTGGAGTCAGTAACAGAACTACCAGGGACGCAGCGTTTGCGGCCAGGACAGAGCCCTGGCTCTTCACCGTTGTCCTAAAACCATTAGTCTGCATTGTTTTAGAAAAAAATGTCACACGACACTAAAAAAAAAAAAAAGTATTGGTCATGGTTATCGGCGAGTACTTGAGAAAAAGTATTTGTACTCGTACTCTGTCTGAAAAAAATATTGGTGCATCCCTACTGAAAACCATGATAAGTTTCCTTTTCCTGTAAATACAATATATAGCGGTTTCCTTTTTAAGTGTAAATATGCTATAATAGCTGTTGACATGTTATATTTAGCGTTATTATTATTATTACTACTACAGACCTCAAATGGACTTTGATCTTTTGATAGGTGTGGTGACTGATTTGGGTCTAGAAGAATTAGCATTTGCACCTCAGCGTGCAGAAAAGTATGTGCTTCGACTAGATGGAGATTTTCAAGTCAAGTTTGATGCCTTTATGAAAAAAGTGAAACAGAATCCTTATACTCTCTTTGTTCTTATCCATGATAATAGCCATGTGGATTTAACCAGGTAAGTGCATCAAATGACAAGCATATGTAAACATCCGCAGGGGGGTAGTTGGTGGGCTCTTATGGGACTACAGAAGTCTAGTGATACAGGTGTCTAATTGGACAAAGGAGCATTTTTTGCCCAAACTTATAAGATTTACATTTCGATCTAAGCAGCGTGTGTTTAGATTATCTGTTAATTTTTTTGAAAAACACCCATTGTAAAGCTAGCCATACAGGGGTTGAATTTGGTCTAGTTCCTGCTAAACTGGCTAAAATTCGAGGCCATGTGTGGCTGTCACACAACCGGGCTTAACTGTGCTGGTTGGAAAAGTAGCAGCCAAACCGTGACTGCATCATACAATGGACTGAATGAGGGAAATCTAAGTGTATATGGCTAGCCTCAATCTGGTTCTAAAAGCAAAAACCAAGTAGAAAACACATGGCTTTTGGTTCCAATGGTTATAGTGCCAGACAAAGTTGGTGCATGTTTGGCACAGGTTAATTAGTGTTAGCAACTAGTTTTAAAATGGGGCAGTTTTGTTTAGAAATAAGCTATCCCCTCATGGTGAACTATATATTTTGCAAGCATTTTACCTAGTTATTGCACTGCTGTTGATTTGGTCTTTGTCCTTTCTCAGTCCTTTCTGATGGCTTCTTGAGATGGCCTCCCTACATTATAACCACCTGATCAGTCTCTCGGTTGTGAAAAGAAAAAAACATTGCAAGGATTTACTTTATATGGACTTCAAACTATGTGGCGATATCTGGGAAAAGTAGTGAGCCAATCACTCAAGGAGGAGATTAGATTAGATTGCTGGGAGTTCTAGAACTGTGTTACCATATTGAAAGTAAAATTGTACTTTTTCTGTTTAAAATTTGCAGGTGCTGATCAAAATGAAAACGTCATTTTTAATAGCATTATAGAGTACAGCAAGATCACTTTCCCACAAAGTGAGAAAATTAACTTAATGACACCCCTCTGCCTTACACTGGCTGGCAGCACAAAAATGTACACAGTCAGGCCAGGAGAGGTTGCGGAGTGGTGTCAATAAGTTCATTTTCTTACAGTTTGTGAGAAAGTAAACTTACCCTAGAATTACCCAAATGCTTTGCATAGCATGTATATGTTGTCTTTTTTTGTGCCCTGGAGACTGCCAGAATGTTTTTTTATTTTTTTGTAATCTACTTTTTTTTCCCCCAAAGTTTTTATGCCAGTCACATAAGTTGTTGAGTTCTCCTTAGTCTTTTCCCAGTGGTGTGCGGTCTTCAATGATGCATACAGTGGCACCGACATCAGCGCCACTTTCTCCATGCGTGCGCAGTAAATGAAAGGTGCCGTGGTGACTCCCTCCCAAGGGGCAGGCTCATGACGCCCTGTATTCATAGTAGAGTCCTCAGTCTTTGGGTTGGGTGACACTGGATGTCATTTAACCCCAAAAACGAAGGGCATCTTGTAGCACAGAAGAGATGCTGCAGAGGGCTGCTCTGGATAGAGTGAATATTGCAGCCTGATTCACTTTTTAACTTTAAGAACCTGATGGGGATCCACTTCATTTAGAAATACAGGTTAAATGTTAAGGGGTAATTTTACAGGTTGGGTTTTTTTTTTAATGGTTCAGGAGGGTTGTTTTATAATTCAGATGAGGGTAGGGTTAAGTTAGTATAATGGCTAGGTGTGTTATTTGGAAGACAATTGTGGTCAGGGCATTTAGGCAATTTATTGTTGAAATTGTGCTTATGCACCCCTGGAGCCAAAAAACCCCAATCTAATTGCAGATACCTAATTGTTTTCAGTTATTTCACATTTTGAAGTTACAAGTGTTCCTTTGATGGATGTAATTTCTGTGCATTCTGACATTATGCTTTCCTTTTCCAGTGCCATGTCAGGATCATTGCCCCTTGGAGATTCTTCTCAGGGACTTTCTGACCGAATTGTTAATGGTCATGAAGTGCAGGAAGGCCTGAATCTCATAGTGCTACAAGTCAGTGCATTTCCATATGCTTTACAGACACAGCAGTCCAAGATCAGCCCCAGCAATGAGGTGCACTGGATTCAGCCAGACATGGCAGTAAGGAATTTTGTATGATGCAACCTTTTATTTTATTGATTTTTTTTTTAATGGCTAATACAAATTACTATTACACCATCTTGCATTCTGGACTTTAGTTTAAACGTGTGACTCAACAATTATTGTTATAGTTACTAATTCAAATCTGAAAAGTCAATTTTATACGGTTTATGATATTGGTTACTTGAGTAAGGTGTCAATGAAGGCACTAGCAAAAGTTGTTTTTACTGCTTTAATACTTGTGGCCTTTAAACTTTTTATGAACATATTTTTTTTTTTGTGACCTAGGAGGGTGTAGCTGGAGAGGAAATGGTCTACTTTGGAATTAATGAGTACAGCAAATCTCTACAGTGGGGTATTACTAGTCCTTTATTGAGATGTGATGAAACATTTGAAAAAATGGTCAACACGCTTCTGGAAAGGTAAAGTAATTTTTTTTAAAGATGAATTCCCATTCTAAATGTCAAACTTACATTTCCTGCAGCCCAACACCTTGTTCCTGTCAAATCACCATCCTCTCTCCTTGTAGATACCCAAGGCTTCACAGCATGGTAATAAGGTGCTACCTTCTTATTCAGCAATATTCTGAAGCTCTTATTGCTTTAACCACCATGACCTCGCTCAGAGACCACACCACACCAGAGACGCTGAGCATTGTGGATGACCTGCTTAGCTCCCCGGGGAAAGACAAAAGTGGCCAGGGACACATGCTTATCATCCGAGTACCTTCAGTACAGCTGGCAATGTTGGCAAAGGAGCGACTGCAGGAAGTGAGAGACAAACTAGGGTTGCAGTATCGCTTTGAAGTGCTTCTTGGTAATCCTGCTTCTGAACTCTCTGTTGCCAAGCACTTTGTCACTAGATTAAAGGTAAGATCATTTCTCGGATCATTTTCAAATCACATTAATGATATTTCCGCTATAGTCATAGACTCAATAATGTCACTGGGAATCTAAGGTACTTCTCTCCCCAGAGCTCAATGGAGAGGTACCCTAAGGCCAGCCAGAGTTTGTTATCAACAGGATATTTGGCATCGGTCTGAAAAGAAAATGACATCCCAGGATTAATAATTATATTTTACAATATGCCATTTAAAAAAAAATGTTTAACTTTTCTTCTGTGAAAATAGTTTAAAGTAAATTTGTCTGTAATAGCTCACTGGACTGGGTTAAGCAAATTAAGCCCTGACTCCTGGGGAGCTCTAATGTCAATTTCAGCATATAGCAGTGTTGAGAACTGACTTGCTGTGGCATGTGTTTGTTATTGCTAAAGCCAGTTTAGTAACTTGTGGTTTCTGGTGACTGATTCACTTTTTCTGTCCATCAGTGCTCCTGCCAGGATATTTGATGCTAGCTTTTCACTGTGGCTGTAGAAGCGTCAAAGCAATCTTAATGCCTCAACCTACTTAGAAAATCTTTGTTGGGTTTTAACATAACAAGGGTAGAACATCGGGTATGAATGCCTTAAATGGTATTGAGGTGGTTAAAATATAAGGCTTGGTAATTGTAATGGCACACTATATACAGTGAACTATTAATTTACAGGTCAGGTTACACAGATGGAGGCTTGCGGTGAAAGGGTCATTGTACAGGTCACATAATGTGATAGGATGCAGATGAAGGGGTTTATGTGCAGGATAAGAGGTGAAGGCATTAATATGCAGGTCACTACAGAGACAGGATGGAGATAAAATGTATGTGTGTAATATATATAAATAAATATATATATAT